CCCCTTAGTTAAGACCCCCTTACATGGGTCATACAGACCCCGTCTCTTTAAACTAATTCACTTTATTCTCGAATTCCCCTTCCCGTATCACACTATGTAAAAAAAAAATTCCGTTCAACAAATTTTTCTTGCTGCCGGTAATCTTAACTGTTCATAAATTTTCGCCCAGCGCCTCGTGGATTTATGTCGAAATAGAAGAATTTTTTTTTCACTCGTTCAGATCTCGTCTAGGATAAACTGATTGCAGTTTTTGTACAGCTCAATGTAATATATTTGTTTCAAATTTTTACAGGGATGTGATTTATCAGGGATTGGGTTCGGCCTTATACGCATTATAGATCTATAAATATTATATATTGATATATTTTAAACGGTCTTAACTTTATAGGACCCTCTTAAACGTGATAGGTTATGGAGCAGATGAAGTAGAGTTCACAAGTTTTCTAGATTTCTACAGGTGAAGTATTAACATTATACCCAGCCGTTTTCCCTTCCCTGACCAAGCCCTCAGTAGAGCTAGGTGAACTTGAGAGCTTCCCTCAGCTTCGAACCCCTGAACCGAACTCGAAACCTTCGGGTTCACAAATGTATATTCCATCACTCGACCACACCGTTCTATAATACTCGTATCTATTTTTTTTCAAATTTTATTTCATTGTATTTTTTTTCGTCGTCTTTTAACAAATGAAACAAATTTATTGATTAGAGAATTAGGTTTGAAATTGGCGAATCTAATTTAGCATTTTGCAACAAGGCGTTGACAAATTAAGAAAGAAATTACATCACGTTATACGCGACGCGAGGCTAACAAAGCACATTATATTGCCGGCAGTTTCCTCTCGGCAATTATAACGGACAATTAGGGTGGTCGCTTGCTATCCATTTAGATAATGCAATCAAGAAACATTGCAGCTTGTGAGAAAAAAAGGATGAAAACCGTCTTGTTTGAAAAGATGAATCTGGGATGATGTTCCTGGGGTGATTTTGTTTTGAAAATTTTAAAATTTGCGGTGGATTTTTTTTTTTTTTTTTTTTGCGGTATAAAATAAAATTGAGCGCGAAATGCGGGAATTGTTTAGAGGAAGAAAATATGTTAACTGTTGTAATGTTTAAATGGTTACTCTCGTATGATGTGTTCATGAAAGTTGGATGGAGTTGAGGGACGCCCCGAGACTTGACGAGGGTAAGTTTATCAGGTATGTGAGTGAGACCTGTTTGCTAAACAAATGTTTTGCTAAACGGATGTTTGTGAAGAATCTCATGTTGTGATTTTTTTTGTTTAATAGTACCAACAACATTTCTAACCTGTGGATGTAATTCATTTAATTAGACACCGCCCCCTCTTCATTATCAGTACACTGAACTTAAATTATATGAAAATGTGGTTACTGACGCAGGTACTGAACTCCAATCAGGAATCAGGGAAATCAAACTTTGATCTACGAGAGATACAATTCTTTCTTTTTACTCATCGAATTTTATTTTGCTCAGCCAATCAGAGACAAGATTTGTTTCACCAAACAATGGGGAAAAAAAAACCAAGAAAAAAAAAAACAACAACCGAAGAAAAAAAACAACGGCCATATTGTTTTTCAAAAAACCGCCTGCGTCATTGCTTTTTCCCGTGTTTGTGTTTTTAAAACCTCTAACGAATTTTAAATTAAATTAGGGACAATCCGATTGTTTCTATCGGATTCCAGAACTTTCGAGGAAATAACACAACCAGTAACAAATACGTTTTCTCCTCCGTGTATATCCTCCCCCGCCCCCACCCCCGTAACTAAGGGAATATCCCCGGTCTGGAATCACCCCCTCCCCCGCCCCCCCCCCCCCCCACGCCATTAGCGGGATGCAGTGGAAAGTCTCTCGTTGTTTGAATAACGATTTTAGCATCTCCAAGACACAAAGGATCGCGGACCGGAAATTGAAGTCAAATCCCAAGAAATTGTCATAAAGCGCCCCGGCGGGTGGACCCAGCACCCCCCCCCCCCCCCCCACAGCATGGGGTGGATCCGGCTCCCCATGAGACGGACGGCTCAGCACTGGCATGCCGGCATCTGTGATTTGTAATTAGTTGTAATCCCGCCCGGCTGTACGGTAAGCCGGTTCCCTCTGCCGGCTGTACGGTGAGCCGGTTCCCTCTGCCGGTTTCATTCAACTCTCGGGGGGTCATTAAAGTTGACTCTTAATAAACGTGGCCGTTGTGACCGTTGGCCTTAGGTGCGCTGGTGCATGTATGTTGATAGGTTCATTTAAACATATTTGTTAATAGGTTCATTTAAACATGTATGTTGATAGGTTCATATAAACATGTATGTTAATAGGTTCATTTAAACATGTATGTTGATAAGTTCATTTAAAGATGTATGTTGATATGTTCGCTGATGCATGCATGTTGACATGTTCATTAAAACACGCATGTTATGCTCGTTGAAGTATGCATGTTGACATGTATGCTAATCCAAGTGCGTTGATATGTTTTGATGATCACGTTGATGTATGACTAAATCAGCGTATTCATAAAAATATTTTAAAATATTTTTTTGTACATGCAACTGCACATTGATATGTTGATAATGAATATCGATATTAAAATTTTTTTTTGGAACTTCAAGTATAGAATGCCATAATTAGGCCGATGTCCTGATAATTAAAACTTGAATATGTCTCAAGTCCGTATTACAAGGCACTTGATAAATATGAACCCTGCTTTTGAAATCAATACTGTTCGCCTCATTGATCTCAATACTAGCGTTACCTTAACCAGTGTAGGTTGTCTTATCCCATCCACGGCGAGTAGTTTGGATTTCTTTTACACTCTGTCAATCCTTATGGTATGCATTAGGTTTTCTTCATGACTATCAACTCTACATTAATTAGGTCTTCTCCAAGACTTGTTTAGGTCACCTGAGATAGTTAGGGTTTCTCCTAAACTTGATTATGTCCACATCAGGTACATGTTCTCTAGTAAGTCTCTAGTACGTCAATGACAGGTCTGTTAAATTTTCAAATCGAGTGCTGAGAAAAATGACACATCTTTCAAGATCTGATTACGTGTAAGCAAAAAAAAAAAAAATCCCTAAAAGCAGATTTTCTTAAACGCTCCACGCAAAGACCTTAAAGTGTGAAATAATTACGTCAAGAAAAAAATCCGCTTCGAGAGCTCAGCTCTCGAGAGCTAAAAAAAAAACTCGCTTCCACTTTGCAGGCGATCTTTTTCTTCCTCGTATTTCTTACCTCTTTTTATTTTATTAGTTTTACGTAGAGAAAAAAAAATCCCCTAAAAGGTTATATTTTTGGCAGCAGACGGCTACAAGTGAAACTGATCCAGGTTTACATAATTGTGTGAAATGTTTACAAATACGGCCGTGGTGATGACACATTTTGGCGCGCTATTTTCTCAGCCCGTTAGCGAAAAAATGGGGCGGCAGGCGCGGCGCCTGACTGATTGAATTTAGAAAACTGATGTGGCGAATGTGCAACACGGTTTAATATGACGGACATTTTTTTGACACTTGCGGAGCCTGTTTGTATTTTCTTCAGTCCCGGCCTAAGCTACAAGCCTAGAAGGTGATCGTTTACGGATAATAATATTTATCTTCTAGTGTAGTGGGAAAAAGTAAAAGACAATTTTTTTTTTACAAATGCAAACTTCTTTTTCCTTGTTTAAAATTAAAAAAAAAAATCTTTGCTTCGTCCTGGAACTCCGACTTACAAGGCTCCATGCTGTTTAAGCCTCTGTAAGTCAGGAAAATGCCACTTGATGTAGTTTGTGACGTCTCGAGACAGCCAATTCCAGACTCAGGTTTTACGGCCTCGCTGGGCCGCTCGTTGTTTGATGCATGGACTTTCTGGGCCAGTGGACTCGAGGCTTGGAACATTTTTTTTTCTAATCGTTCGCTTAAGGCTGCAGGGATGGGCGGGGGGGGGGGGGGGGGGGGGCATTAGTTTTATGGCCTCATGCGAGGCTGCTGTAGTGTCTTGTGCCTCGGACATTAAGACAGTTCCAGAAAGTAAGACACTTTGACATTCTTAGAGTTCATTGCCTAAAACAGCAAGAAAATTTCAGATATTTTGACCGTGAGACGTATCTAGTAAACAATTTGACAACAGGACAGAACAACACTTAGACAGTCTAACACTTGTTGACATTTTAAAAGCTAGACACTTTGGCACTCTATATTATAAGATAAATAAATATTAAGGCAATGACACACCTAGAAACACCAGTATATTAAGCACGCTAAAAATTAGACTATATACTAAGATATAAATACATTGAAACATCTAGAAAGCGAGACATTTCGACTTACATCGTTATGATTAGTTTGAGGACCGCTTCACCATTGACATTTCAGATTCAAAATATATTTCCTTAGTTGTATCTAACACGGTTCTCACCATAACAGCCCACACAACATGATTGTAATTTAATCTCGTGTTGGGGTACTGTACTTTTTGCAAGGTAAATATCACGTGATCCAGGTGCTACAGCCGGGGATTGACACGTGACATGGTGTTTAGGTCACGTGGTGTTTATACACAGAAGATATTGTTGTTGGTGTTTGTATGTCAAGGCGGTTGTTGAGTGGATAGAAAGTTTGGCTGATCAGGTCCGTATTGTTGTGTACGTTCGTTGTGTTTGACACGTGTGATAAGATTGGATTGATCTTACAGGTGATGTTAACGTGATCTCGTATGTGACAGTAATGTGACCTTACGTGTCACATTACGTGACGTTACTTGTGACAGTAAACTTGACCTTACATGTGACAAAAAAGTGACCTTATGTATGACACGTAAATGACCTTGCAGATGACACTAGTGTTACAATACGAATGACACTACCCGTAAAGTGACAATAAAGTGACATTGCAGGTAAAACTATTGTGACAATACACCACCACTGACGTGACACTGACCGTTAAACGAAGACGTGTTCCCACGTGACACTAGCGTGACCAAATATTTACAACATTTCTCACCTGTTTATCCCGCAGGTATCAAATTTTCAGCTGTCAGAAGAAAAAAACACCCGCATCACGTGGTTTCTCTTCAGCAGGAAGTGACGATATTATCACAGCACTTTACCATTGAAGGTAAGCACATTTCACAGGTTACCTTAAATAGTTATACAGTTCACTGTCGTCTTTCGCAAGTTTTAAAAATAAGTCTCTGCAGGGGTGAAGAACAAAAGCAACAACCCACATGCGGGTTGTTTGGGTTGTTTGCTGATATATTCTAGAGTCTAGAGGGACCCTGTCTTATATTTCACAGTGGGGTAACTCAGTACCTCTGTGACATACACAGACTAAACAAGTTGTTATTGTGAATGGGTGCTCCCAACTCTAAATACGGTATACATAAGTTTAAAAACTGCTTTTATATATGAATATATAATTCACGTATATATATATATATATATATATATATATATATATATATATATATATATATATATATATATATATATATATATATATATATATATATATTCACTTTCACAATTCACATCTTAATATGGTCTTACATTGTTGAACTTACAAACTTACCCTACGAAAAACATTTCGACTGCTACCCCCCTTTCTCCCCAATTCCCCCCCCCCCCCCTCAGCCTCTGTGAGTAAATGTCAACATAAAACAGCTCACCATTTCCCTGATCTCACTCACGCCCGGCCTGATCTACCCGTGCGGCCGTCACACTGCCACCACGTACTCGAGCATGTCTTTGTGTGGAACGTCTGCGGGAGACACGTCCCGGGCCCAGTGAACTTGACATTCAATTGTTACAGAAACTTAACGGCTTTTTTTCTTTGAGGGGAGGGGGAGGTTGGCAATCAGGGGGCAGGAAGATTTCAGGAAAGGGGAAAATGTCTTGGAAAGGTTAGCTTTTCTTTGGAGTAGGTTAGGTTTAAGATTATGTGACAGCGGCATATGTGTGAGCTGAATTGCGTAATTATTTCAGTCGTTTTTGTATACGTTCTCCTAACTTATGCTGGGTACCCACGGGAGCTGGGTAAACTCGAGGACTTTCCATCAAGCGCTGGTTCAGGAGTTGTTTGGAATCAGTCAGTAGCACCGACTTAATCACGTTTTTTTCATCTCTTCTTTCAAAGCCACGAACTGGGTGATTGTTACTGAGCCACTAATCGAGTTTTGGCTCCGGAATACTTTCATGGCTTTAGCTTCGGAGCCACCACTTCGGCATTGGTCTCTGGGCTAAGAATACGGATGTGGCTCCGGAGCCATGAATATAATCTTGGTTACCGGGACTACTCTGGGGGTTTTGTTTCGGAGCCTTCCATTGGGATTTAGCTACTCGTAGAATCTCTTAAACAAGAATGAGACAAGAATGAAAAGTTTTCATAGACGAATCAGTCGTGTTGTTTTGGGCGCAGACCTAGCCAGATTAATAACCAGACATCCAGGTAACTTCTGCCAACATGTTTTACCTGCCCTCCAGGTAACGCCGGCAACCTGTTTCTCACCTCAACAAAACAAAAACTAATTAAAACATCGTTTCCTTTAAATCTGTTTACTTTTATCACGTACGAGCATCATACCGAAAGTTGAGTGTTGCCCAAAAATTTGACCTAAGACGTTATGACCTCGGCCCGTGTTAGTTTCCCTCATCATTCTCTCGTTATTTGTTAATGTTTTGATGATGTAAAATTACGATTCTGTTAAAGAATATAGGCTAATTAGTAAATTTTTTAAATGTACCGTAATGTTATTAAATGTTGTAAACAAATCTCGTCGGGTATTGTTGCGTTTCGATGTGCACACATCAAGTCTATACACCACTAACACACATACAGGTAGGAAACACATACAGGTAGGAAACACATACAGGTAGGAAATGACTTAATTTACACGTAGAACTGACTCGACCAACTGTACCGTTATGCACACTACGGTTAAGGCTACTCAAACTTGCTAAAAAAAGACAACATACGTCCCTTACTGAGCCGAAACCTTTCATTTTTATATAACCCCATACACATAACGATAAACCCCATATTCTTCTCAACAACTCAAATGATTAGCTAGATGACATATACTCTATTACGTTGTGCCATAGAACCTAACTCCGCCCCCACATAACCCCACATAACCCACATCTACACATACGCACTTATCAGTCACACACTTTTAGTACTTGCAGCTATGTCTCTCACAATCCTGACAAACTAAAGAAACACACCTGGACAATACAACACACTTGGACAAAGCACATTACCTAATATATAACACACTTGGACAAAGCACATTAACTAATATATAACACACTTGGACAATACAAAACACACTTGGACATAACAAACAAATTACCTAATTTATTCATGGACTAATTATACATGCCAATGTCATAAAACACACATCTCTTAGTCATCGAGCCAACATTTATAACCCATACACCCCAAGCACCCTCACAATCCTCACAACGAACTACACTACTCTCCCCACTACATATCACCCTCACCATCCATTACATTCATAAACCTTCGTGTAGACGCACGCATTCCCTATCATTTATCACACTCACAAACCCTCATATCGATACCCCCCACCCTATTACTCCATATCACACCAACAAACATTCATTTTTTCCCACACTTCCCCTCACCCCAACTCAAACACCCACAAACCCTCACATCGACCCCCACTCACTCCTACCCCCTTGTCAACCCAACAGCCCCTCCTACACAAAAAACACGTCAATGCCATAAAACAAAACCTGGCACAAATGAGTCACCCCGTGTACAACTGTTACCCTCGTCTTATCTGGTATCAACTCGGATTAAAGCTTGAGTTTGGGCCCTCGAGTTAATCATAAGCTCGATACTTGGCCTCGACTGTAATGACGGAAACGTGTCGGAAACAGAATTTAAAAAACAAACCATTTTTTTTTTATTATCAATATCTAATTTTAAAAAAAAAGAAAAAAGTACAAGGTTAAAGAAATAACGCCGTGTTAAGTAGTTAAGAAATGGAGTTTCCACGGGGTGACTAATTGGTCGGGGACAGTTGCTAGACAGATGCGTCAGTGCCACAGACGAATACGGCCTGTGTGAACTGCTAATGGAATCTTTTACTGTCTTCAATGAAGTCAAGGTTGGAAGCCCGGCGTTTCGATTCGAAACTAATGCGGTAATTAACCTCTGGTGACCTTCAAGTGTCCAGGGTTGTATCTAGTTTTGAGTTAGGGTTAAGGACCTGGGGTCAGGAGTTGACGTTTGGATTGACGAACTGGAATTGAAAGGTGTGTGTGTATGGGGGGGGGGGTACGGGGTTAGGTTTTGGGCTTACAGTTTGGATTAAGCTATTTTGGGTTTAGGCTTGTGATGTAAAGTTTAGTTTTAAGGATTGGGGGTAAGAGTTAGGGGTTTAGATTAAGCATTCGGTTAAATATTTAGGGGAACTGTAGTCATCAGTTGTAGTTAGTACTAATCCCCAGGCAGAAAATTTACTGTAAGTAACTATTTTAAAGAACTTTTTTTTTTCGTCTACACAGTCAGTCAGGTCACGCATATGGATATTTAAAAATAAAATAAAAATTAGCAAATTAAAAAAAAAAACACCCCACAAATTTGTATACAGCAATTGAAATTTAAGACGACTTATGATACATGTTACTGACCATGTTTTTTTTCTTCTTGATAATTGTACTCACCCGACTCAACCAGGGCCCGCTGATCAACACATTTTGAGAACCACAACAACGTCACGTGTCGGTGAATTAATCACACGTACCCATTAACATTATAATACACACACCTACTACATCAAACGTGTTTTTTTTTAAAAGTCAAAATTATCAAATTATGACCGTACGTCATAATTTTTGAAGTGTTAATTGCGTAAAAATAAATTTCACGGTAATGTCCCCTGTATAAATTAAAACACTCCCGTCATAAATTTGTAGCTTACAAACCTTTTTTCATCCGCCGGGGCCATAACCAGACGAGATTTTGGCGCCAGAATTATCACCCTGATTCCATCATGACATTATCCCCTCCACCATCCAGACTGCCCGACCCACACATTTTTATACAACCCCCACACATTTTTTACAGCCCCCCCCCCCCCCCCCACTTTTTTTTAATAAAGCCTTCGCTCTATTCCCACATTTATAAAATCAACCACGAAACAATCTAAGCTTCTAAAAATAGCACAAACAGGTGCGCCTGCGCAACCTATATTTCGTGATAAGATTTTTATCGACAGGTGAGAATTGTAATAAATTTAAAAATAAAAAAACCCAACAAATTGATTTACTGACAAAATTTAAGGCTAAGGTTAAGATCCATGATCATGGAGTATTGTGTGAGTCAACTATAATAGCTTCGTTGTTGTTTTGTCTCGTTTTTTTTTTTCGAATGTATGACTCGTCAGTCATCCCCCCCCCCTCACCCCCACCCTTCTTATCTACATTCCTAAGTAATTGTTGTCTGTTAACATGGCTTGTCACGTGACCTGTGTTGTCAGCGCCGGAGAATGATGTTGGCAGAAGACATCGACACATTAATCGTTGATCTAGCACCGACAGTTGATCAAGTACCAAAACTTCACTCTAGTGCTTCAAGTAGATCTAGAACTAATCGTTGATCTAGCACCGAAAGTTGATCAAGCACCAAAACTTCACTCTAGTGCTTTAAGTTGATCAAAAACCAAGAGTTCATCTAAAACGAAGCCTTGATTTAGAGCCGAGAGTTGATCAGCGCTAAAAGTTGATCTAGAACTAATGGTTGATCTAGAGCTAAACGTTGATCCAGAGCTAATGGTTGATCTAGAACTTAACGTTGATCTAGAGCTAACCGTTGATCTAGAGCTAAAGGTTGATCTAGCATCAAAAGTCGATCTAGAGTTAAAAGTTTATCAAGAACCAAGAGTTGATCTAGAACGAAACTTTAATCTAGAGCCAAAAGTTGATCAGCGTCACAAGTTGATTTTGAGCCTAAAGTTGATTTAGCTTCAGACATTGATCTATAGCCTTGATGGCAAGGAGAAATCACAAAAAACGATTGCAAGATTGGGTATTCATGACCAGTCCTTAAGGCTCCCCTAGGCGATCTGTTTATCGAAATCTTCATAATCA